GAAAGACGTTTTCTTAAAATGTCACAAAACCTTTATTTTTTGCAAGGAATAAAACGGTTGCTAATACAACGTATAATAGTAGGCTTAGGATCATAATCAGGTATCAATTAATATGATTTACAAAATTATCGATAAGAATAATAATTAATTGATTAATTAATTATGTTTTCAGTTGTGAACAAAGTTATTTTTGCGACATCGTATCTTTGATGTTAAACGTAATTTGGCCCTATTTCTTAATTTGAATTCTTGTCGTTTTGAAATAAAATTAAGATATAAGAGCATTAACATTCTATTCAGTAACAGTGAAATAAAAGAAACTTAATATTACTTCAGTCGCTTCATCGTTAATTGAATTGACAGTTATTTGATTGCTATTGTTTCTGTGTTTCTTTCAAACAATATTCAAATATTTAAATATAGAATATGCTGTTTTATAAATTCGATTATGTATACGAAATAATTTCGTCAGTCTAAGATTTTTATCAATATGTGTTGATATTTAAAAAAAGTCACAAAATCAGTGACTTTACCTAATGACGTCAGACAGATATATGTAAGGGCACACCTGTAAATAAATTTGCCATAATATAAACTGTTTTTGTTGTTATTTATTTGCTATGTCAGACTGCACAGGTGTGACAGTTATCTTCCTCACGCAAGTGCCAAAATAAACAACGTTTAAACATTATTTTATGGTAGCATGAATTTCTCATACATAGATCAGTTTAAACAATTATGACAGAGTTTGAAAAGCTTCCTTACGTACAATATTTTTAAAGATACAATTAAGGATTATTTTAGTGTTTGATTGATTGAAAATGTTTAATTCTGTTTTATATTTGACTCGATAATGATTTTAGTGGGCGATGGATTTTACCACGAAACATTAAACGGACACTTGGGATGACCCGTAACTAAACTTCATCATCAAATTATTATATCAATCAGTACTTGAGTGGAAAGACACTTTCCAAAATTTCGTGCATTCAATGTTAGAGATTGGTGTTATAGGAGAATTATTGTCATATATAATATAATCTCTATAATAACGTTATACAAGGACGTCCTTATATTCCATCACTCTCATTATTTTCATGAAAAAATAAACGTTTTCATTGATTTATTGATAATACGCAATTGAATTCGTAGGCAACAGCTAGTATACCATAAAATACGTAACTATAATTTAGTAATAGTAGAAAATTTCTGTTTACAAATTGCTTTTGTTTCGCAATCATGACTCTAACAGCAAGCGATGTTTGTTCGGAAGCACACTGAAATTGAAAAACCCAATTTGTTAGAGTCACCGCTTCAGCCATTTTAAAACTGTGTAATATTTTTACTCTTCGTTTTGACAAAGGCCGATGTGGCAAAATTACAGTCTCTATTTAAATGATAATGAGTTTCTCTAATGCGTCCTTGATGTTTGCATATAATATCATAATTTAAATTTGTCGAGTCAAGCGTACCTTCATGAGCGGTATTTACATATTTAATGTATTATAACAGCTTAAATATTTGCGAAACGAAAATACATATTAACTGCAGCTTCTGTACACAAGATCGATACGAACATCGCATAAGTATAATTTATATTATACTTATGAGATGTATAATTTTAATGTTTTGAAATATGTTTGTAAACGAGCTTAAGTTTTTCTAATAAATGCATAGAAATTCTCCTTAGATGAAGATTTTATTCTAGTAGAGATTATAAATCTAATACACATAAATCTATACCGATAACCAGCAATTAAATACTGTTTCTCTTTTAGACAAATTGAGTGAATTAAATTTATAGTATAATTAACAAAAAAAGAAACACAAAACAATAACGACACTTAGATAAACAAAGAAAAATTAATATGAAAAATGTAATAAGTATGAGCAAATAAAAGAATGGATTAAATAAAACAAACGGCGAAATAGATTTATACAAGAAAGTAAAGTATTGGGCTTTAAAAATGTTTTACCTTATAATTTTAATTTATAATTATTGATATCCTCCATAATTTTAGGTTTAGCCCAAATTTTGGTGGCGAAAACTTCATGGGTATTGATTTGGGTGAATGTTTAGAATATTCAAAATTTTGACAAAATAATCTCCTTGCACTTACAACAAGAGGAGTAAAACATGCTTACACAACAGTAAATCTTAAAGTGTTAATATCGCTAAAAATATTCTCAGCTTTAAACCTTAAACAAATATATATATTTAATAACAATGAAAAGATTTATTAAAATAAAATAAATCCATTTAAGTATAGAATCTTTAGGATATGATAACGTTTTGGTGGGACTGTCATGTGATTTTGAAACTACTTTCTAAAACACAAACTTATGTACATAAGTTCAGTCATGTTACTGAATTATTGTACTTTTGTTAAAGTACAATATTATAATTTATATTATTATTATAATACCATGACTTATATTATTATTTTCATTCACTATTGTGGCGCCATCTATCATCATCTTTTGTTGGGATCTTTATGAATATTAAACTTCTTACAATATATTGCTTTCAGGTTATGCTTAAAAGGAATATTTTATAGCAGAGATAAATTATTGTTAACCCAATTTATCCCCTATGTACACAAACTCTCGGCTATTCAGGGCGAGTGAACAGAAAAAACGGTCAATAAATTGTTGGAAGTCCTAATAAAAGCAAGTTTCGTTTAAATATTTGCTTGTACTTGAGACTCTTACTATTTGCCAATCCTCCAAGATTTTGTTTACATGTCAGCAGACATATGTATTTCATAAACAACTAGAGTTTACATACCAATTGCAAAGTTGTCTATCGAAGATATTTTTTAACTGAAAATAGCACGGTGCCTTTGTAACAAAATAACCCAAACTAAAACAAAGTTTCCATCTAAACACTTGTGTATCTAAGATATTAGTAGTAGAAAATATTCCTATAAGTATTGTAGTAAAAAAAGTAAGATCCGTATATTTATAAGTGTTATGTCTGTTAAGTTTAGCGAATAATATTATTCTTTTTAGTTGGCAATGAAACTATCACTCTAAATATCAATAAGGGAGACACGTTTTCACCTTTCGTTTGGCATCAATTAATCTAGGTCCATTAAATTAGTTTCTGAGCTACAGACAAATTTCTGAGAGTGAAACCCGGGGGCAAGGAAGAGCTTATGTTTAGAAAGAATGTTTTCCGTACTTCGTGATTAACGCAAGGTCAGTCTATTTGTTAGGGAAACAAACAGAACATTTTCTAATTTGCATAGTTATTTGTTGACAATAGAAGTTATTATTGTTATTGCAGGAATAAGTTGTATAATTTGAATTAATTTTATTTCATGTCTTATACTTAATATGTCCTTTGGCGACGTCTTATTCAATTAATATGGTATTTTTAGACGATCTATTTAAGAAATCGCCCATTGATTATATACAATTTTAATGTGGTCCCGTAGATTTAAATAAAATACGAAAAATCATATAATTTTCTATGGTGTAAATATTTTTATAATTGAAATTGTTAATTTAATAATACATACATATCTATATGTTACATAATTTTGTTTAATAATTATATATAAGGTAACGCGATAATAGCTTTTCATATGTGAACATTACTTCAAAGAAAGTTAATCCGTTCCCGTTTACCCCAGAAAGTGAAAATCTTTGAGCCTTCTCAAGTATCTATCTTAAACTCAGATAAGGTAAATTTTTTCCAGTCTAATGAGAATTTGTAGGGTGACTTTAACAGTCTCATTTAAGATAATTCTTTTAATTATTACTTCGTTCATAGAAAATTTTAGTTCCAATTTATATTTTATTCTCTTATAGAAGTAAGTCGTCTTTAATTTATTTAAATTATGTTTTGTTTGGAAATACCTGTATGTTTGTTTGGAAGGATTTTAACTTATAAAACTTATTATGTTTGTATGTATCATATATAAAGTTATTGATCTAGCCAAATTGTATAGATTTCCTGGTAATCTCATCCTTTTGCTTAAGCTCCGGAAAAATATGAGTAGTTATTATCATAATCGAAATATGTATATGTATATCCGCATATTACGATGACAAGAGTGCTATTCAAGGAAAACCAGAAAACCAATATGGAATTATTATTTAAGTATAAAAATAAAAAAGTATATATATCATACGAAATTATTACCTTTATAACACAATCTAATTTAAAAACCACAGTAAGAATAAACAGACCCCTGAAACAACATAGTTAAATATTGATATAAAAATCATATTATTCTGATACCTATCTCTAAAAGTAGTTGGAACAGATGCCCGCTCACGCGGTCTCAGATATAAATAGTGATCGATTTGGCGTGCAAAATTGACACTACGATAAGTGCCATGCTTGCTTCGCTTTTGATACTGGCTTGTATAGCTATCCATTGCGCTTGGAATTCAACTAAGAATTTTCATACTTTTCATGTAAAGTTTACACACCACAAAAATATTATTTTATCATTTATCTCCAAGATAATTCTTCTGAAGTTTATAATTGAAAAAGTTTTTTTTACAAATATTATATTACGTTTCTCTAAAATATTTTTTTGTTGAGATGGAATATCTTAAGAAAAAATTTAAAGATGATCTTCTAAGACCGAATTAGTTTTTTAAATAACCACTTTTCTTAAGAATTAGGAATACACATTATTTCGAGTGAATAACTGTAAGGTTTTCTATGGAAAGTCACTTGTTCACTTTGTGAAAAATGAAGTAATTGTCGAAACGAGTGTATAGTTATAACACCTTCACGGCCAAAACAACAAGTCAAAGGCACGCTCAATAGTGATATAATATCAAAACGGCCTATGAAAGGCCACAGCATCTCTATCTCTTGCGTCTACGTAACTCCGCTCATGGGAACGAACGGTCCGCGGGGTGAAAACCCTTTGGTGGAGGCGTTATACCATAAGAGGCTCGCGACGGTTGAGCTGAAATGGAATTAATACGGAGGGTTGAAAGGCTAGAATCGTAGGTGGGGTAATGCGCTGTGCGGTATGTTTGTCCTGCTCGCTCGGGGCTCTAGGCTGCGGCGCAGAGTCGCTCCACGACTCCAGTCGCGGTCTGCCGGCCGTCGCGACGCTCGGGGCCGCAACGCCGCGCCGCTAACCGTCACCTCGCAATCAGCCGGCTCGTGGCGGACGTTATGCACTGCTGACTGTGCTGACTGCGTGCTAGCCCAATCCCTTATACTAACAGTAGGACTCGTTTCACTCACGCCCCCATTTTTCAACAGTCCACGGTGATTACATTGTGCAGTGTCACTGGAGTATTATTTTAAGTTTCTTAGTATCTGTGATATAATCTTCAGTGTACATCATGCCGTGACATAAATACGATATACGTTGATTATAGTGATAGTGACAAAAATTTTAGTTGCTATCGGTTCACTAATGGGTTAAGTTTGTTTAGGTTTATAGAGGCATTATGAATTATTTCGCGCGACATGATCATAGTTACGACACATGAGATAACATTTTAATCTGATAATCACGCAGTAAAATCATTCATTAGCACTATATCCTGGTCGAGGTTTATGTGTGAGGTTTTTTAAATCTACTACCGCTATAAAATGTGTCAAGTACGTTTTTGGTGACGTCAATATCAATATTATTTTTATACTCCTCTAGCTTATTAAAAACATTTATAATATAATATGTTTGTTTCCGTAACAAAATTGAAAAAAATATTTGCTTTACCTTATTTTATATTGACAACTTGTTGAATGTTTGCAAACAAGATATAGCTCGATTCAGTTTTAATACAATGATAAATTACTCTTAGTCGTAACACGTAGCCTTATAATGATGATATGTGTTTATTTACAACTTTTCTTATTCTGACAAAGAAGTGTCTTTAATACAAATAGTAAATTTTTATACTTTTAAAACCTGTAAGAATTTTCCGAAATTTTTCAATACACACAATACCTTTTTGCATTTTGTTTTCCGGGTAGTAAATGATGTTTGTGGGAAAAGACAAACTGGAGTTATTTCTTTTATGTAACAACTTTACGTTTCCACGCCCTGAACAATAAATAATAATGTTTATATAAATGTATATTCTGATATTAAACATATCCTTATATAAATACTGAAGTTGTTTTGTGCAAGTCAGTTTATCAGTTTATTTAAAAATATTATGAAGGTATGGGTATGAGTTTATCCCAAAATATAAGGCTTAATAAAGACACAGTTATTTAATTTTTTTAAGGAAAAAAACTAAAATGTTTGAAGTACTTTGAATGGATTGGTATAAATTTACTAATTATAACAAAATGTTCCAGCCAATTAGTCTCCTATCGTCTAAGTTCTTACAGGTTAATGAGGTACACTTTTCTTTTATAAAACATATTTCTTCATGTTATTCTGACAAAGACTACATTTATAAAAGTTTTAGGTGAATGAAAGTCTATAAAGGTTTATGTTCTATTTTTTAAAAGATAACAAAACTAGAAATAAAGTAAGAAAGTAAATAAAGACGAATGTATGTAAAAGAATTTATACACAAGGGACGCACTCGTTCACGGAAATTTACATGGGAATGTAATTACGTCGAATGCGATTTTACTTACTATAACCTGTTTCTCCTTCTGTGAGATTCATTTTCGATTTTTTCTTTTTCTGTAATTACAAATTAAATTCAAAATATATCTTTCTGTTGAATTCATTATATATACTTGAGAATTTCTGAAAAAACATTCAGGATAAAGATCAATTTTGTAAATATACACCATTTAATACTTAATGTGTGAACCGTCTGAGTTTCGTGATAGCTTGAAGTTAGATACTTAATAGCTGGTTCTCTCTTACTTATATAACTATTAAAACTGTAATCCTCTATACTCTATAGGAAATATTGGGTGCCATATTTTATATTTTATTTTTATCTGAGCTCTACTGTGTGACGTCATTAGGTTATACTGAGAACTGGTCTATACTATTAGATAGTTAGTGATGATGGCCTCAAAATAACAGGCAATTGTACCAGAGACCGCTCAATGAGTAGTAATTGATTGTATGCCTCGATCATCGTTCCGTACATAGACATAGCAATAACAGAACAAAATAGCTGTAGGTATGCTGTATTCCTATCGCCTATTGTATTTGACGTTCAATTCAAGGTTACTATTGATTATTTTACAATATATAATAATCATGGTATTGTTTATTATATCGTTAGCCTGAATTGTAAACGAGTTATTCAAATAAAAGGTAACAATAATTATGAATCGTTTTATCCTTTTCTGTTGTAATAACTGTAAGGTATGCATACTACGCTTAAGAGAAGTACGTTTTCTGAGCTTTGTATTTTTGTAACCGCTTACGTTTTAATGAGATTTCGGATGTATGTTTTGAATAAACATTTTTAGGAATTTTTAATTTAATCTTATATTCAAGCATAAGGACATTTTAAAATACAATCTGATACCAGTGATTCTATACAGTGAAAATTTGAAAACAAGGTTTTTTATTACACTATGTAGCTACTAGATCTTTAGAAATAGAATTAAATGTTGTCTTCACAAATCTCGTTCTGGAAACTGGAACTGAAACACGTTTAAGTAAACAATATAAAATGATTGTCTTCATGTACGTTTTACGTTTAAATAAAATTTAATATGAACAGTTGTCTCTGATATGTTTAGAATTGTACAATTTTTATCACGTTATAAAGCTACATTTTCAATTCGCATAGCTTTTATGTAAAAGATGTTAATGCGTACGTATATCATATATTAAATCTTTTGAACATTTAGAACACAAAAGAGTGAACTGTTTTATACAACTGAAAAGCAGAGACTGCTCTGTTAAAACTTGTAAAACATAGTGGTACAGAAAACTCAGTTTATTAAAAAACATAATCAGGATGTAGGTTTAAAATTTAATTTAATAACTTACTATGATTAAGAATTGTTGACAAAGTATTTGTAGATTATGATAAGCGTTAATAAAATTCTTTATTACCTGATTCATAACTACCATAGCGAATTATTTTTTATTCCTCTTACTAATTACTCTACATACAGGAATATTAATGTTCCCATTATTCAGTTTCTATTAAGTATAGTTTGACAGGAAATAATTACAAGTCTACATATTTATTTAAACTTCAACTATAGATACTTGTTAATAGAGCAATGTTGTATTATTCTTCTTCTAAAAATAAAACATAATGCTTACTAATTTTATAGAACGTATTTATAATTATAAATATACAAGTATCATTATGAAGTTTCTGTTCATATCAGATTTGACAAGTTATTATTATTTATTAACCTTGAAATCGTTTTAATGAGATTTAAGATATTCACGATTATTCATTGATGTAAAATAAATACTTTTCGCAATTTACTACGCTTTTATAATTAATTATGTGAATGAAATATGTTTGCTCAGATATTGAAAGAGATTAAAGGGACGATTTTAATTACAAATGTAAATATAGAAGCCACAGTTTTAAGCAAATGTCTTTGTTTTTAATTAATATCATGTTGAATGAATTTATTTACATATATATGTATTTATTTTTATTTCTCCACAGGGCCAATTCTTGACATTAATAATTTCGTGAGAAATTGTTATGAGGCTACTTGGTAGCGTGCCAACAAATATATGTAGATCACCTTTCGTCACAATCGTAATGCACTTTGATCTACAAATATGTACTTAACAATTACTGACGGGAAATCACAATATAATTGGGGACATTTAATTCGTACATACATCAAAATGTTACTAAACGCTTGTGATCGTGTTAATTTTTCCGTTGAAGTTCAAAGCCGTTTTCTGAAATGTGATGACATGGCATTTTGCGAATTCACTCGTCCGTATTGTAATTCGTTTATATAAAAGGATATTTGACAGAAGTCTTTTCAACTTATGAAACATTTTTTTCGCACATGTAGCCTAGAGGTGAATCGATAGCATTACTTAATTTACAGCGTCATGGGGTAAATCGACTGGATAAAACGTTTTGAGACAAGTGATTTAATAAATAGATATTATCTTCGTAGCTTTTGTGTCTATTTTAAATGAAACTTTACATTATTTTTATCGATATTCAATATGAACATCACATATCAGTACACTATCGCTAACTTCTAAGACTGATCTGGAATTTCTTACGCTTTACCACGTGCCAAATAGTGAATATGCGTTACATGATAGTGAAGGCGAATGGTGTTTAAGTTGCGGTGTTTGTGTGAGTGTGCCTGTGATAGTGGCGTGGGTGTGGGCGTGGGCGTGTGGCTTGTGGCGCGCACGGCTCCAAGGTGGTCGGAGGGGGGTTGTTCCGTTGCTGCGTGCCCTGGTGCGGGGCGCGCGCGGCAGCGACCGACGATGCCGACTATGCCCTTAGAGAAGGCAGCCCCGAACTTTCCACCCGTGAATATGGTGAGTCTCTTTTTGTTTACTACATAAAAGATAGATCACCAGCAAACTTACTCACTGATCTATTGGCAAATATTTTTTGGATATCGATTTTTGAGCAATGGAACCTGCACCCGCACGGTGAATTCGTCAAATGCTAAAAAATTTCGCCTCTTATGTTTTTATTTTTGTACAGCTGGTAGTCTATCTTAATGCTTTTTTTTATTTATTCAATATGCAATGTAAATCAAAACCACTAATTTTGGTTCGTAATGTTATAATTTTACATGATTTATCAAAAAAAAAATCTGATTTGTGGAAAGAAATGTATCTAAACCATTAGTATTGACAGTTAAACGTATAGCCACAATTTAATATCAATGTAAAATGTGTGCCTTTCATCAAAGTGTTTACATTCTACTTACGCAGCTCTATGTCCTGTGCACTTCTCACAAGTTTGCATCGACAAAGTCAAATACATACATGAATCGTTGTTCATGATAGTATTCATGTAGGTATATGAATGAAAATCTGGTATTTCACAATGGAAGCATGTGGTCAGACTCATATTATATGTCTTGAGCATTAAGAAATAATGTTATATTCTATATTTATATAATGAACTATATTTTAAATAAAACTGCTTATTGCTTAGTGTCAACTTCTACAAAATGTAAGTCCTTGTAAAATAATAATTATAAGAAAATTTTGAATTAAGCATAATTTAAAAGTAAAAAAATATATCTTAGGAATTTAACTTGAATGAGGAATTCATAAACTTGACACTTCCTATTCACTAGGAATACCGAAAGTGATAAAATCTAGAATAATAATACATTTGTTGACATTTATAAAAATACTAATGCTGCGTTCGTTTAGCCGTTGGGGTGATTTTCGATTCAGACATACTTTCTATATAATAAAAGGTTTTAAGCGAATTTTCATAATAATACAGATATCTGTATAGTGATATGAACCTTCTCCTTTAGTAAGTCGGTGAAAGTTACGTGATTTACATATATGTAAATAAACAATTTTCCAAATCTAATAGGACAGTAAAAAACTAACGATCGATTTGATTAATTAAAAGTATTGAGGACAGATGTTTTTATTATTATTAAAGCGATCACGATTTACATAATTTATTAAACAGAAAGTTTACTTTATAAACAATTATAAAATTAAATTGAATAATTTAATTCAAGAAGGAAAATAGTCACTAAATTTTCTCAAAGCCCAAAATTATATTTCTTCAAACGATATTACGTTTGACGCCAGAAAGCCGAATTTATTGACGGATTTGAAGGAAATGATTACTTAATTATTTGTATTAGACCGTACAATTGAATTATTGTACGTGACTGAAATATAATATATATGTACCGTTAGTGTAATAGCGTAGGTTATTATGTTGTTAAAAAGAAATTAACCTTTACATTTGATTCCGCTTAATGTATCAATAATTTGTTTTACAAATTATAAAAAATGTATGTAACTTCTTATTTATTTTAGTGTGTGTTATTTTTAAAGGAATATAATAATGTCTTTTAAAAAAGTGACATATATTATTTCTTATTTATTTATTTTATTTGTCATTAACAAAAGATGTTTATAACTTGCCTTATTTATTCCTTTGTAAACATACGTATATACATGCTTATGGTAAGATTATGACTATTTTGGATACTTGTTAAATGTGATAAGGTGGAACAAATTGACCGACCGACAGTCAGTCTTTTTTCCTTTTTAATAAGTAAATATATGACAGATAACTAGAGTGACAAAATTCATTTGCTATATGCAATGATATAATATGCGTTATAAAATTTATTTGGAGATAAATTAAAGACAATTTACTATCACTTTATGTGTATGTTTATTATCGCACATAAATAATAATGTAAATAAAAAGCAAATGTTATTAAATAAACATATGCCTTTGCGTTACATTGATGGGCGATCTTGGCTGGTATAATGGAACTATAAATCTCGGGCCTTTGTCTCGGAGAAGTAAGCTTGCGAAAGGACCCCGTTTGATGGATGGTTCTAAAAGTATTCCTAAGACAAAGGTAATATCGAAATTACTTAACCAAATTAAAAGAACGTTTCTTCAGTTTTGTGCGATGATTAATTTTACATTATAAATATGATACACAAACTTCTTATTAAATTCAAACTGAAAATTATTAAACAAGCTATATTTATTATTCGAAAGATAAACTTGTTGATAGAATGCTGTTAAAAATTGGCATTGAAGTATAAAAATGTTTAGATATCAAAGGAAAGAGAACACATTTGTTGATAGCGTTTAATATTTTTGTTTTAAAAACGGTGAAATTGTTGGAAGATTATTTACATAAAAACTATTTCATTGAGATACAATTTAAGATGAGTACTTCTGTTTCAGCATCAAACTATAATCTCACAGTAGCACATAGTAATAATATGAATTTCATATGTTGCTTATGACCTCTAATTGTCAGAGATATATGAGGTTTTTGTAACCTTGAAAACAGGTAACATAAACAAAAATAGAATTATTGATAATTTATAAAATATGAAGCAGATTTACTTCGTTATATTTGTTCACCTTTCATATTTTAAACGATAATTTTACCCATTTAAAACAAATACTATTGTAAGGTGTAGTTTGCTTAATAAAATATAATTTGGTCTAAAAATAGTGAAATCAATTTTATATAATGTATTAAAGTGATTTTTATGTTGAAATCGTACTTTGTAGCTTCGAGAAAACTATCATAGAAAAATCAATAAAGTTCTTTGTCTACAATGGAAGGTCAAATTTAGGCTAGTTATCATACCCTTCTTGATTTTGCTTTGGTACGCAGTATAATAGAATTAAAATCGTCTCACTTTGAGATGAATTCAGGTTAATGAATTATTCTTCCAACAATATTCACCGTGGTATATATTCTGCAACAAATACTTCACACTAATGAATTTATTATGATACTTTTAGGAAGTATCATACATGTACTTTTCTTGTATTTGTATAAGTACTACATTCTAACGAAAAAATAAGAAACGAAAAAATAGAATCAGCTATTAGCCAAACCTGTACTTTTCATCCTAATATTAACTTTGAAGTTTACAATGGCCCTTTAAAATTTGATGGTAAATAAAAAACACTGAAATTTAAATTTTATGTAAGTTTATCTGTACTTTTATTACAAGGTTGGATCGTCAAACTAAACTACTTTCTGTTAAAAAAGCGTCCGAAACAACTCGATAAAAAACTATAAGGTAAACACATTTTCCATTTTAGCTGAAAAGGTAGAAAGTTACTTTTTTATATAGCGTGCTTACTTTATAAAGCATTTAGGTAGGTAGATAACAAAGTTCACTTCAACAGCTATAGTCTACACTATACATGTTTTTAATTCCATTCCTCTAACATGTAATTTAAAACGTCATTACATTTTCACAATGTTGAGAGATTTGTGTCGCTAGCAAACAGGATATTTGGTGAAAGATAAAAGCAGCTATGTTACAGCAATTAGTGATGCTCCGCTAGGTGTCGTTATAAGGGGCCTTCCCGTTAACCCTCATAACACGAGATGGCTTATGTATTTATTATTTTGAGATAAAAAAATATATTGGGCGCGGTGTCAAAAAGCAATCGATGTTTGTGTGAATGTTTTTGAATGTAATATTAATTTATACCTACATGAAGGTTTGTAATGCATAAGCAATGAGCTATATTCCTTAAATGCATATTATTATTTTTTTACTAACAGTGTTTTCGGAGAAGACGGCGATAAATTTAGAATTAATGTTATATTTCCGAATATTATTACGTGTATTATACACGTAATAATGTACATATACACATATGTTTTGATATCACGAGCACTAAAGAATTGATTGATTTATTTTATTTTACTGTTTAAAAATATTTATAAACCAAATCATATATATATATATATATATATATATATATATATATATATATATATATTTCGAAATGTTAAAGTTTTTGTCAATAAAACTGTATTATAACTGTATTCGGAATGCAATTTACTAAGGCGTTGTTATATAAGCTGTATCCTACGGAAACGACGTTTGCTATCTGGTGGATATAAGACATATGCCGTGGAAATGGAATCGGTGACAGCATATTGTCGATTGTTTTGCTAAATTCAATAGAAACGGCATAGATTCAAAACGTTGCACTTTGAATACAAACAGTCATTATTCCGTGTCAATGATCTACATGATACAGTTACATAAATAATTTTATATATGCAATAAAATATTTTAGTAGCTTATAAATTTAAATGTGTATTACATAATATGAGATATGAAAATTAAAAAAAACTAAATACATAATTGTTAAAATATAAAACGTCCCTGATAATATAGTACAATTTCAATTAGAATTCTTACAAGATTTCAAAATCATTTGTAACCGTAATTAAAATCTATGGGATCGTTGCCTAAAATATTGTTCCTAATAAAGTAGTCTGTGACAGCATTTAGTAATTTTATTGAAGTTTTATGACTAAAGGATACTTTTGTTTGCAAATTGCTCTTTATTTTACCGCAACTTTCAAAGTTGGCGAAGTGTAAGCCGGCGCACTAAATTTTCATTATTTGAAGTTAAATGCTTTCACGCAAATGGAAAATATGAATACCAGAATATATTTTAATGACCGTTAATAAATTTCAATAAATATTAAGTGATAAACATTTCTTGAAGTTTTAATTATTATTTTACTAAATGTAGGTTTCTCATTGTTTACATGACTACTTTCTAATTAATCTGAAATAAATTTTATTTAATTTATTCAGAGTTTCAACTGTTAGTAATTAAGTCGCCTTTTCTATGGAAATAAATATACGCACGAAAATATTAATATGCATATATATGTATTTTTTTCTTAATTAAGGAACACGTTTATTATACTTTCCTACTTTTGAAATTTTTTTTTCTTTGGTATAAATTTATTAAGCTTTTAAATTTATATCAAAGAAAAAGAGAGTTAAATTACGAAAATGATTTGGTTTTCGAACATTAGATAACTTTAACTTAAATTTTATTAACATACTACAAGCCCTATTTTACTAACATACTTTAACAGATGTTATCAAAAATCCGAGACTTGTTTAAGAAGGTTCTGAATTATTTCTGTTTTGAACCCTTTTATGATGTGACGTGTTAAAATAATTCAAAAGCGAAGAATGTCCTTTTAGAGTAGAAGATATTTTTAGAAATCTGTACCAAGAGTAAATATCATAGTTTTCAACTGTTCCTTTACTAGAATTCCTTAATCCATTATTCTTTCACTTTTTCGTTATTTATTAGATCCTCTAGAGAGCTCTTGGATCTACGACTATTTCTTAATGATTCCTCCTTACTACGTCTGTGTCTGAAATGAGTCCTTCTATAGCCCTCTTTTTATAAAGCTAAGAAGTTTCTGACCATTCTATTAATCAGCGAAAGTTAAAGGAGTATATTTTTTATGACAAAAATAGAACCAAAATAATTAAGAGATTTTAAAATGTTTATCGTTAGTTTGGATTTCATTTCTGATACAACTTATAATGTTTTTAGAAATATCTGTATGTAAATAGGAAAAGTAATTAGTTTTGGTTTCAGTTTTTCGCTCACGTATTTTTAAAAACTGATATACCAATTATAATATTTTTTTAATTGTCCAAGAAAATATTCTTTTTGAATACCAATTTTTTAAAAGTATTGTTGTGATATTATAAGTTGATCTTGATAGTTTATATTTTTTTGTGTAAGATTACGCCTCATACAAATTACGTTAATAAATAAAATTTTGGTTCAGACCGGAGCTAAGAGTTAAACAAAAGGTACGCTGAATAGTTTTAAAATTATATTTTAGAATATTCAAAAAATCTACATGTATTCTTGATAAATACCTTTTTTTGTCAGTGATAAGTTTTTTTAATTTTCAGTATTAAATAAAAACGCAAAATTTGGTTGCTTTTATATTAACACGGAGTCAAAATTTTTAATCATATAGGTACGTACATAAGCAGATGACAAATAATAAATTTTTAATTAAAGCGACACTTGACATAATTCCAAAAATATGGAGAAGAGTTGTGAATAGAAAATACTATTCAAATTTTATTTTGTATGTATTAAAATTCATAAACTTAGATCCTGCATAAAAAAATACTTTTTGGCATCCCAACGGTTCGATAAAAATTGTTCCATTTCTATATGTACCGATATGACAGATGATGGAAATCTACATTTGAAGATTGAATTTCATCACATATTCGCTCTTCCTACGAATAACCATAAGCCATCACGTTTATCCAGAAACGTTGTTAGTGTACTCATGTACGGGTAATGAAGCTTCCTCCGTATACAACAGGAAATTCTGTGATTATATTTTGCGATACTCCGGAAAATCTAATTACTAATTATAGTCTCGTGTCAGGTCTGCGTTTTATAAGCTATTTTGTCGCGAAGTCAATATTATTTACTCTTTAGACATTTTTTAGTATTTTGGTGATGATTTTATTATAATAGAAAATTAAGAGCGTTAACTGTTGGGATGATAACTATCAAGGTTAATGTGGAGTTTAAAATCATGCAAACAAAAACTGTTGTATAAATTTTAACCAAAATGAAATGTAATTTTAAACACTTCTTTTATCGGTCGTCCGTTTATTATTAAAGTTGAACATAAATTTTTTAAATTGTTGTTTAAATATTTCGTTGTCAAAGCAAATTTTTGAACAAATTGTTTTGTATATTTAACAGAATGGCAAGGGAAGTTGTCACAACACGCAGAAATACTCGCAGTTACGACACTGAGTTTGGTTTGACGTTTATTGGAAAAGTTAAAACCAATCAAGTTTACCAAATCTTCGTTTTGGTATATTGATATAATCCTCTTTCTCGAGCATAGCCGCCGTCTCTAATCAAATAACTTGAAATTATAACTTTGGTAATTTTGACAATGCAAAGTTCATAATCTCTATTGATTTGTTGATTTTATTTACAATTACAGTAGTATTTTAATAATTATCCTAATACAGTAATTTCCTATCTTTATAAGAAGTACAATTTAGTAATAAAGAAATGTTTGTAGAGTAACTGATAGATAAATTATTGCTACCATTGGGGTTGGCAAGGCGGGACTCATTTAAATATTGACACATGTATCGATTGCCGATACAACGAACGCCTGATGTTTGTTTTAATTCGCATTTGTATTCCAAACCAACACTATATTTTATTTGTGTTGTTATTATAATACAGATATATACAAATTATAAAATTGTTTAATTTGTATTACGTACAGTTTGTGTTGGAGGTCTTGTTTCATTATCTTTCAAAAGTTTTCATATACATTCTATATAATTGTTATTTTATTTGAAATATTTTATATCTAAGATATTAAATTTTTTATGATCTTGTTTATAATCACTGCAAGGCAGTCTTTTCATACAACCAACCTCAATACCATTCTTAGCATTGATTATAATTTCGGTTTCTTCTATGAATGCAAAATACAAAATTCTTACTTTCGGTCTTATCGCCACATTCTTTTACTTTTTACTTCCCTAATTTTTTTTAAGTCCAACAATGCACCTGTTACTCTTTCTTTTCTTCATGGACGTTGGTTTCAATTTTCTGTGCTAAAAATGTAAGTAATGTGTTGGTAGTATGCGTAATTAATATTCTACAATAGAATGTGATACAGATGTATGTCTAAGTTATGAAGGCAGTATCATGATTGATTGCATATTCTGTTTAGGACGTCAAGCATTTGCATGTCTATGTATATGCAACATATCATACGATTCTTCATGTGGTCTCTCAGTTAATAATTTCTTGGTATTCAAATATGTACATATAAGTAACTTCATAAAGACATTTCATGTAAAAAATCTGGTTTTTTAGGTAACTGTATAAATGTTCAAATCTTTATATCCATATACATATGTATATTTATACATATACACATATCTACATACCTGAATTTAATAGCTATATTTACATATATAAATACATATATACTCAAAACAAATAACAACGAGCTTAGAGAAGTGGTATGGATTTATGTCTATGCATAAATTAGTAGTTGATCCACATCGCTAGGGCTTACTATTTCGTCACTCCGTGAGTACACGCTTCTGTAATCTTTGGAGAATAAATCTTATAAAGTAAACAGTAATTTTAAACTACTGTTTGCTTTCGAAAGCTTGGATTAGCATTTTGAAAGATTACTAATACTTTCCTTAGGGATGGATAAATGTTTTTCTATTTTTGTTTCCAAAAAATTATGTTTGATTTTGATAATAGAAACTATACCTCCAAAGTCAATTCCTTCAAAAACTGCTGCACGGACTTTTAATAAAATTTTCAGTAATGTAGCTAAGAAAATAGGATATACATATATAATTTATTTAAAATAGTAATAGTAGTTTCTAAGGAGAACAATATAATATTTTTAAGTTTCGGTATGTGCCACGTATAAATTTCGTTGCTAGTTCGTTACACTGTTTATTTGATGTATACTTAAATAGCTTCACCATAATTTCAATTTTGAAATCCATGTGGATGAAATCTCGAGCGTAAATTAGTTTTTTAAAAGAGCTGTATAAATAAAATTGTTAAAATCAAACAGTAAGTATCTCAATAATAAACACTTAAGAATGCCTGTACAGATAAATTTCTCTTCATTATATTGGTATCTAGAAATCCTTTTAGTCATTTCTACTGAATATGTTCAACAACAAAGATTTATCAAATTTATGTTATGTTATTGAAAGAACTGTAAATAGTTGTATATTTAGATAAGAAAAGTTACTACTGAAATATATTTTTTTAAATTAATACGAGTGGAAACTTTTGCTAAATTTGAATCAAAATCATTAACTTTAGTAAAGAAAATAAGTGTTAGTGATAGCACAGATATTAATAATAATATATTATCATCCCACAGTTTAAAAACAATGGTAATTTATCTCATTGTTGACATAATTTTTGAAAGCATTCTTCAAATTTTCATGGGTTTATTTAGTAATAGATTTATGGTATAAAAATATTCATATAATATAATTATATTCATGTATATAATTCATACAGGAATCTTCTTACTCATTATAAAGTCAGATAACAAATGCGTAACACGATAAAACTTTAATATGGTAATCATAACTTTTTGAATAGTTGCTAAATACATCAAATACAGATATTTTTAAATAAAGAATTCAATACTATTTTTATTTCAAAACAAAGCGTATTTACTGTTGCAGTAAGATTTAAAATAACTGAGTTGTAAAATGTTTTTGTTCAGGACGCTTTTCCGGACAGCATGTTTCGTTTGTCATGTAGACGATTGAACGACGAGACTTATTTATTTGATAAATGAATAAAAATATTTATGTTAGTAAGTGTATAGGAAGATATATTATAAGGATTTTTATTAATCTTATTAAACAATTAAAGAGTTAAAATAAATGAAATATTATCGATAATTTATATGGAAGACTCTTACGCTAATGAGCAAATAATTTGTAAATATGTTTGTTAACCTTTCAGGACCTACATTCAGGCTGTAGTGAAATTTAGGTCAAGGTAGCAAAAACAACGAAAAAATAAGAATACCTTTGTTTCTAAAGAATGGAGTTCTTCCCGAATAATTTGAAATAGGCATTCACAATTTTAAGTTAGTGATAGTCTAGTATTAACAACAATTAAAAGAGAGTAATTTGAAAAATCATGATTATATGTATGGCAACTATGTATACCGAAAACTTGGTACATTTTTAATTATTTTGAAAATTAAAAGTAGTATATAAAATGTATGGTATATTTTTTCTTCTATTGCAAGAAATACATACCTGAGTGCTATACTAATGGTAAACGAAACAAAATCTTAAGGAACTATGTCACCATCCTCCATGTAAGATAGGAGAAGAAATGAATGGAATGTAATCAAATAAATAATATTTTATTAATTTAAATCTTATTTAATATTATTATTTATTTTATTAACAAAAACATCATTTAATAAGCGTAACTCAATTATTGTCAAACTTTTTTGTTATTAACTTTGAGTTTATAAGTTTGGCAATTTTCAAATATTAATGTCGGAATTAGTTGCTAGTAAATATGTGGATATATGAAGAATATAATAGTTCGCTTTAACTATGTTCAATTAATAATTTAGAGTAACAAAGTTAAGTTGCTGGAACCGCATGTATTTTAATAGCGCCCATGGGAATTGTTATACCGGACGCTTACGCTTCCTAATATTCAAGGCCGGATTAAATTTGCTAGGTAATTTTTGAAATAGAAAATTTTATTTTTAAACGTTCTCTTCACGAACTACGTTTAAAATCACATTTTTTATGATAATATAAACCTCAAATACTAAACAAAATATGTCTGATTTGTATGGAATAGAAGTCTAGAACAAAATAGTAAGCGTAACAAATACATGAGGACCGTTTCTAATATGTGTAGAGACAATGTAAAGACAATACCATTACTGGCTCCAAACCACTGCCGTGCAATCTGAAGTCCATTCTAATTTCCCGGCCGATTACCTCCATTGTATAGATCGCTACTCGCTACTTAGTAGCACTCCCTGTTATTGAGAGATTAAATGAGAAATATATTACTATTTGAATATTAAATGGGAAAATAATAAATTAATTGATGGCTTTTATTCAAACTGACCCGTAGATTAAAATTTAATAGAATGTTTTTTTCTTGTTTATCATAATTACTTAGATATGTACGTTGGAAGCGCTTTACCAGTTTATTGTTTTTTTTCCTGAATGTATAAAAAATGCATTTATAGTATCAAGCCTTTTACTCGTATGTATATTTACGAGATTACTTAGCGGCTTATTCATTGGATTTTTTTATATTTATTTCACTGATATTTATTTAAATCTATTTTTTTTAAATTTTAATGGATTAGTTCCAATCATTTCATTGATATTCGGGTCACAGGTGATTTCTAATCTAAGAGCGAGAATTAGCCTTTTAAATTGGAATCACTGAAATCCGGAATAATGAGAGAAAAAATATGAACAACACCTTGTTTTTCGTGTTCAGTCGAAAACATTTTGGGGTCTCTTATTGTTATGTAATAAAGTGGTTTTGATTTACTTTGAATTGATTAAAGTTCAACATGTGTTACCTATAATATTTCATTGTTTACTTTTCAGTCATCCCGGAAACTGTTATAAACTCTCCACGTCCAATTGGTCAACAATCACCCCTTCCTGGAATCGAAGAAGAAGATGATTCCGATTGGCCTTTAGAGGACGCAACAGACGCGACCCTCACGCCATCCTTTAAAAGTACAAGAAGTAGCACTGATACGGCGTTCACGTCATCTAGGAGTTCTGGAAAGAAGCGTAGTTTTGGTAGTCCCTCATCAGTGAAGATATGTATATCAGCGGCGGCCAGAAAGTCTAATAAAGCACGAAAGCGTGGCGCTGCTATCAGTACGTCAGCCGGTCAATCCGGGGACGAAGGGACAACACACTCCAAGATGCAGGCAGAACAGGGCAGCATCGGTGAACTGCAAAAGTATCATGGTAGATACCTCAAAAGCCGGCGACACACACTCGCCAATGTCCGGTGAGTTCCAACACTAATTTTAATTATGAAATTAAAACCAGAATATTCCTGTTAAGATTGCTAACAATTGTGCTTAGATCGATCTTTGTACTGTTCACGACTTTTGTGATGACAACTTAGTTTATATTTGATACATAATCAATAACCTCTGTATCATTTCAAAATCTTAATTTTCTTCATACTAATTGGAAACTATAGAATATATTTATAGGTGTAGAAATAGATGATGGATGGTTTGAAATCCAGTTTTACGGCCGCAAGTAGACTACAGACTCGTAAAGTTGATGACTTATTAAAATGAGAACATTTAATAATGTCGACGTGAATTTATGGACTATTTTACAAGTACGCGTGTTTAAGAATCGTATATTACACTGGAAGAATTTAAATTCTATTACGAAAGCCTACATAAAAGTCGATAACCAATAAATGGTGAAATTAACTCAGTAAACATTCATTCATTGTTTAGTGCTTCTATTTCCTATAAAACATTTTATAATACATATTTCTATAGTTAGATAATATTTGTTCCATTACTAAATGCTTTATATGTAACAAGGGAATATTTGAAAATATATCGCAAAAGTACTAACGAGGATTTAATTACTCGGCGATGAGTAAAATGAAGCCACAATTACGCAACATGATTCTGCTTAGCAATTTCATAGGGTTAAAAATGTTTCGTTATAAATAAACAAAAATAGTTGTAAACACACATTTATATACATTTTTTACTAAAAAATGACTATAGCTATATCTTATGAAGACTAAATATTGTTGAGTAATCTAAAATTCAAGTTAAAATATTTTCTATTTGAGGGAACCACAAATAATTAAAGACAAACATTTGTGTCTCTCGTCATTTATATTGATTTAGAACACCTGTTTGATATTACTGAAGATATTAAATGGAAGCAATTCATAAAACGTAATTGAATTTCTAAGATAAAGGACACCATATTCTAGAATTGGATATTATTATTTAAAATGTAATGACATTTGGACGTAAATATGTAATAAATTCCTTAAAATATAAACTTTTACATCGTTTATTTATGTCAATTGAATTGGAAAGTGGATGTTATTTACGTTATTATAAATTATTAAAATTATTTTTCCTCACCTGTGCTGACCGCCCACGGACCCACAATCTATTTATGGCTTAACGACTATCTCAGCGATGACAGAATGATACTTGTGGATTCTAAAACGAGTACTAATTTGTATTAGAGTGTGGAAATTTTGTTTTGATAAACGAATAAAGTTTTTGTAATATGCTTTAATTTCAGTATATGTATGTTCTCTCAAATACCTCAATAGGTTATGGAGGTATTTAAAATTAATATAGACGAATTGCAGTCATTTTATTAGAACCTAGACGTTTACAGTAAATGGTTTTAAAACATCAAGCAAATCATTGAAATATTTTATAAAACTTATAAGTTTCTTGATATGGTTTAGATTGCAGAATTTATATAAACTTATCTTGGTTAATTTCCATATAATATGTAGTTATTTTATATCTAAAATTTTGATGTAATAATTACAAATATATATACGTAAATAACATAGTATTTTTTGTAGTATTCATAATTAAAACTCAGGCAACAAGTATAATAAAGATCTGACCTGGTGAAAAACTTATTCATATTTTTAACCAATGGTAATTCTTAAAATATTTCTATTTTTAACAAAGTAATGAAGTTTTATTTTCAATTGCTACAGTTGAATCGGTTAATTTAGTATCATCCGCAGCTCCATCGAACAAGTATTAATAAAACAATATCACTGTATTTATATATTTTTTTACAAAAAATGTACTTCTCAATAAATAGTTTATAATTACTCAAACATGAACGGAGACACTTGTGGTTTATTGTATGTGAGTAAAACATCTACTGTAGACTGTAATAAAAATGCTTTCAAACCAACTGGTTATCCAGCATTCGCACTAGTTTTATTTTAGGAGACATAGCACTTCGGTAAGAACATCCGGCATGTCGACCTGGGCATGTTTATGGTTTACGTGTTACAAGGACCAGAATAGACGTGTGGCAATTCACACAACATTAATGTATACAGGACTGAAGAAATATATGGGTATAGATGGAATTCTTTGATTATTATTAATAATAAAATATTGTAAAATATTTTACACATTGAAAATCAGTAATTGAGTTTATTTTAAGAAAGGAACAAATCTAAAATTGAATCCGTTATAAATGAATAATACAAATAAATACGATTACAACCAAACAATCGACAGAGTCAACTATGAATTATATTTTGAAAGATATTTCATATTAAAATGTTTATAGTTGTGAATAAATTTCAAGGTATGACCTCTAAATGTTTCATTAAAACACGCTATTGTAATATAACAGCAATAATTAGCGTGTTAACGGTAATAAATGTATTATAACTTAAAATATTTGCATTTCACGAAATCAATCACGCGACGTACTATCCTTCATATTAAATTTACAGACTTGTATGTGATGGTACAAAATGTTTTGTGAAAAAGGTTACGTAGTGCCCCGCATCCCAGCTGGCGTTATTTAGAAAAAGGTTTTGTACAAATGTGTGTATGTAATCCATTCACTACCTACCTGCTATGATTAATCGATGTCTGAGGGTGATTGATTCGAAGGGATCATCGGATTGATAGGTATATGGTTTGATCTATATTGGTTAATATGTTGCTAGTAGTTTAATAGTTTTATTTCAGATATACATCAAGTATGAAAAAAATCCAGTACGTATATGTTACATAAAATAATGTGAGATATTTTTGGTTCATATCAGTATACTAACTGTGTACTATACGTAAGTATAGTACAATAGAGTGTAAACTCTAACGATGTAAAATTGCATTTTGTGCTGAAGATCGACTTTGTAACCATCCACTATTATGTAAATATTATTTAAAGCCACGAAATGTTCACTGCATAAATTCAGAATTATTAGATGACATCATTGTATATTGTAATAAAATAATATTTACAAATATACGAGTATTTACATTTAAAGAAAAAGTAAAGACGAAAGTGAAAATAAAAAATGAACCAACTTTTATAAGAGACCAACGTTTGAATTGGAAAAAAGATAGTGAAAGAAGCAGTAGATTAGAAGGATTAACTTTTGATTTGGTTGTAGATCCGTAAAGAAAATATATAAGACACCGTTCAGTGATAGAGCTGCTCAGGTTAATTGAAAAATATTTGATTACAGTCTGTTCCTGCCGATTACTCATTAATTCATGTATGTATTTTTTTGTTTACTTATTCCTTTTAATATATTATGAAGACAAATGTCATTCAGGCCTTTTTGCAATAAACATTGTAAAACCAATGATATTTTACCTTTTAGGGAATCCGGTAAAATAGAGGAGAAAACACCACGACACTGTAGGGAATTGAAGTCGTAATCCAATAAAAGCAAAAGTATATTAAAGTTAAAAAAGTTAAATTATTTAAAGTTAATTGTTAAAGTGGAATTTAAAACGATGGGTCAGTACATTAAAGTTGTCTTATATGTATCATATGTTTTTGACTACTTAATTAATTTAATAGTCAAAAATGAGTATATTCCAAAACTAGGAAACATTTAAAGCCTATAACGTTAATAATTATACTCTGATATAGAGATATAAGAAATGACAGCAGTTTCCAGAGGAAAACTCTCTCTTATTACAAAAGCTTGTATCATTTTTATTTCAATCATGTTCAATTCGTACTTGGCAAAATCTTGAAGAAGAAAAAGTAGTCTATATGTTAAACTGGAAATCGATAAACTAAATCTTACTTAATTTAGGAATGAGACTACGAGACTTAGGTTAGACTAGCCTGACAATACCTGCCAGCCATGAAAGAATACATTTCTAACATCATATTCGGAGTCATTGAATAGAATAATAGGAAAATGATAAAGAGCTAGGTAATACAAGAAAGTATAATTTATGGGTTTTTGAGAAGGCAAGTTTGTAAACCGTATCGTCAAATGGTGAGGACACCTTCAAAATTCTTTATGAGCCTATTACGGTCAAGTAAATCTATTACTGCAAAAAGTAGTAGTGTTTGATAGTAATTTTCAATAATAATATCATATGTGATATATACAATTCGGTACATTGAAATTTATACCCAGTTAAAATATAGTATGTCATAATAAAATACGAAAATGCAAAACACTTTGATTGAACGAAAACCGCCGTCGGCTACAGAAGATTCCTTAGAATATAAAAAAACCTTGAAATATTTTTTTTAGTTCTCGCAGATTTAAATAATGGGAAAGTCATGCTGCTGTTGTATTTCAATTACTTAAATCTCTTATAACATTTTTTAATCAAAATTATGAGCTACAACTATTCCCTTCTTTATTCTGCTCGGGAAAAGAGAAAAATATTTTATTATAGTATATAATAGTTAGTAGTTTAAAAAAATTGAAAACATATTGGAGTTTCTTTTTACAGACAATTAAAATTTATTCCGCCCATATCAATCTTAGTTCAGGTAATAACTCAATTAAGCTATTCAGTTATTGAATCCGTTAGTCATAATACTACAACATAAAAGTTTTACAGTTGAAGAGATTTTATCGTTCAGTCCACATATTCAAACTGGTCTTTCTATTAAACGGTCAATGTAATTTCGAAAGATTTTTTTATAATTTTCATCCGCTTTTTTCAATTCTTTATTTTTTATAGACTATTAACTTGGGCCGTGAATTTGTAAACAACATAACAAAATATGTAGTATGGGATTTAAATTTTAATAGAAGAAAAAATGTTAAACAAAAACTTCTGTTTGTAAAGAATTACTCTTTTTATTTATGTTTATTGCAGCATATGACGTCTGTTATTTTTTTTTTGTTAAAGAGAGAAAATAAAAATAATTTTGCCACATACTTGTAATCCTTCAATAATAGTTCTCTATTTAACCTTTACAATAATTATTATTGTTACGTCTGAAAACGGGTCGACGTATTGGAAACCTCACCCAATAA